ACATTGGAGACTGGAACTTTTCTGATAATCTTATGAAAACTCTATCTTTCTCCAAAGAAATATACATATATGCAAATTTTGCAGATTTTAGGACTGTCATAACCTCCTTGTAACCAATGTTAAAAACCTCAGATGTAGTCATAGACTTTTATAACTACCATAAAAGGAACAAATAAGCAGTTTTTTTAAAAATTAGTCATAATAATTAAGAAATCTAAGTGGAAATCTTGATTTTTATCCCTAAATTTCCGTGTGGTTCTAAATAAATTACTTAAGTCTCCCAGGCCCCAGTTTTCATGTATGTAAAATGAAATTTTTATCTGCCCATAGGGTGATGTGGGTAGTTTCTTACATTTTGTAAAAATTAATTCAGAGTGAATGAATATGTGTGACAATACCGTGAATAGTTGCAGTTTATTATCAGAGTTATTAAGTTTCTAAGAAGAAGAAGAATACCACTTCTTGGGGAACTGACATTTTTATCAAGTTCTCATTTTTATGTATATCTGCCTTGTCAACAGACCACAGACTATGAGGAATTTAACAATTCTGTATTAGAAGGACTGTGAGTCCGAGTCAAGGTTATCCTACATATTCAACTCTTCTTTTCCTGCAGTATGAAGATTATCCTGCAGTGTTTACATGTGATGCTTTCTGTCAAACTGCTAATAAATGCATCCTTATAATTTGAAAAATTCAGCATGCATTTTCTAAGAAGAGGTAGAAGTTTCAGGAGATCTGAAACCTAGGAACCCAAACTTAATCTTGTCCACAAAAGCCCTGAAATATTTATTTCTGTTCTCTCTACTTCCTACTCTACCCAAGGCCCCTAGGGAACCCCACTGTCCTTTTCTGTGTAAGAGGATTGTTACCAAGAAAGGCAACCTTCTTGTTTCCCAAGAAAAGTGCACTGTCTCAGAAAGTCTGGGATTAAGAATACAGCCCATCTTTTATAGCCAGTGGTTCAAAGTTAAGGTTATTTTATAGTGAGATGTTAACTAAAGGTGAAAATTTTATGTGCAAAGAGTAAGCAAAGCTATGTTGAAAGAAGGACACAAACCAAAGCCTTTGCGTTCTTAGGTATCAACGTTTTCTGTTTATTTTATTATCTGGGTTTTAATGAAAATAAATAAAAATGTGCATAGAAGATACAATACTGATACTGAATTTTGATTGCTGTTTTCCATTCCTCAGAAAAATATATTTAATAAAATGCAGAGTCACGAAGTTCAAACTACTGTTTTGTTCATAAAGGAAAATGCTTTATATGCAGAAATTTTGAGTGAGAGAAGATGTCAGGTCTCCAAAGGCAAATATTATGAAATGAAGCAGCCAGAGAATTAATACTGTAGAGATGACTGTGGCCATAATCTTGGATATCAGCCAGTCTCTTCATCTTGGTAGGACCACATGCTTGTGTGAACTGCTTATTGTACCCACAAAGTCGACCTAAGTGTTCTAGTTCTTTGGCATAACATTTCTTCTCCTCTTTATGAAGTATTGCTTTAACTTTCTGGTTGTTCTTTCTACAAACCCTTGCTGACCACTAAATATGAGTAAAGCACTGAAAAAGAATGGTATAAGATTGTATTCAGGAAATTTTTGTTATACGTAAATAAGTTATTTAAAGACCTAATAAGCTTGATTCTCCCCTTCCAAATTAAAGTCCCCCTTCCAGACACAGAACAGCCCTGCCTGTAACCTCTTATTAAGAGTAGTTTTTTATCCTAGGAAGCTAAGAGGGGGAGTCCCTATTTCAGTGCAGATGACTTCATTGCCCTTTCCCTTCCCTGGATGCAGAAACTGGACTATTCTGGAGGGGTGTGTGTGTTTTCTCCCTATCCAGGGATACTATTCTGAATTCCAAATGATTGAAGAATTTGGCATTTTAGGTAATCCCATGTTCTGGTTAATTGAGAACTGCCATTTATATAAATTAGCAGGTCACAAATAAATAGAGCAAAAGGCTCTCAAAATAGTAACTTCCTTTGTATTAATCAGGAAAATGAACACTCAAGAGTTTAATAACAATCATATACTTTTTGGACAATTGATATTTTGTTTATGTGTATTACGACTAATGGCTGTAATCCATCACATTAGAAAAATAACCAACAGTTCTAGCTGTACAAAATTAAAACTGATTGAGACCCTATGTCACCCTGGCAGAAGCTAATCATGATATCATTAACTATATAGCCAATAGTCAAACTCTTTTTATCTTCTTTTGTTTTAAGAAGATCTATTATATAAAATCTAGTATCTACAATCTAGATACATGGTGGCTCACACCTGAAATCCCAACACTTTGGAAGGCTGAGAGAGGAGGATTGCTTGAGCCTCGGCAATATAGTGAGACCTCATCTCTATTATAAAAAAATAAAAATCTAGTATATGCAATCTAAGCAAAATAGAATGGAATAAAATAATGTCTATGTATTTCATCTGAGCAATTCTGCCAAGAAAGCTACTCTCATGTTTATCTATCATTGATAGAACATCACTCTGGGCTAGGCACTGTGTTCGGTGCACTGCATATTTGATCCACTGTATCCTCACCACATCTATGAAGGAATGTTGATGCCAGCCTTATTTTATATATGAAGAATTCCAGACTACAAGGTTGAAGTAACCAATCCGGGAACTCAGAGCCATAGCCAAGACTCAAATACAGGGCCATCACAAATGGATGTCCAAAGCATTCTTTCTAATCATGGAGCAACCACACTGTTTAACAAGACCTTAGAAGTTGAGTACAGGAGACATCATTCACAGGTCTATACTCAAACATTAGAAGAAAAAACACTCGTAGAAATCATGTCTTAACTTTTGCAATCAAGAGTCTTCTGAAGGATAAACAAAGCTGGTGAGTGTCCAGGGCCTCAGAGGATGTTCCCCTTGGAGTCACAGCTCTACATCTCTTCTTGGCCCATGAAATGTTCCTAGTTGTAGGTTAGGGGCAGAGAGGGATGAAGAAAGTAAAAAGTCATTAGCCACAATAAGTGTCCTTATGAACCGCTCTGATGTCATTTATCAACCCCTTCTAAGAATACTGAACAGGTTTGCAGCGTCAAGGGACAAATATTGTCAAGTAAGTCTGTGAAGACAATGGCACATGTCACTAAGGAAGATTTGTGCTAAACATTACATCAGTTCAAGCTAATGTTCCCTTCTGGCCTCGATGGCCAGTATGAGGTGACAGTCATGTCTGTGACTGAATAGAACTGAACTCTGTTAGATTATATCTCCTTAAATCTTTTTCCAGGAGAAGGGCAAGAGCCAAGCAGTGGTTCCTGACTCTGGGATAAACCAGTGTTCTCAACTGGCTTGAGACCACATATTAGACTCTAAAGGGTGGTCAGAAGCATAACCAGGACACTCTATGTTACACTGCTCTGAAGGAGCTGACAGTATAGATAGAAAGTAGAAGCAAAATTTTTCTGACTCTTTCTCCTGAGGCGTCCCTGTGAGGTGTACCATTTAATGAAAGAAGCAATTTTATTTATTTATTTATGACTCTGTGTTTAATATTAAGGAAATATTAAATTTCTTTTTAGGAGTGAGAATGGTATTGTGATAATATTAGGTTTTCCTAAAACTGCATAGCTTTTAGGTCTGCATAGTAAAATATTTACAAATGAAGATGCTTCAAAATAAGATGGAAGTGGTGGCAGCGAGGGGGAGTATGGGTGAAACAAGATTGGTCTTGAGCTGATGATCATCAAAGCTGGTTTATGATAGGTCTATTGTGCTGAGTTTGTTTTTTTTCTGTTTGTTTTTTTCCTTTTATTTTCATGTATGTTAAAATTTTTCCATATTGAATTTTTTTTAAAAGAATCAAAATTGGTTAAAGTTACTTTAAATTAATATTAGAAAATCATGTTTTTAAAAAAGACTTCAAATGTATGCCATTTTCATGATTTAACATTAAATGAAATAGATCTAAAACTGCACATAGAGTACTGCATATATACATATGTTTTTCTGTGTATGTAACGGAAGAAGAAACTACAAATGCAAATTATGGGTTGACCCTGGTTGGTGAAAATGCATATCTTTTTCTTTATTCATTGTTGCTTTTTTGTATTTTCCAAATTTCCTGGAAGGAGAATATGCTGGCTTTTTAATTGTATAAAGTTATTTTTATACAAGCCTTGCTCGTGATGTAATGTTAGATTTTTTTAAGTTACCGAACTGTATATGAAACAGAACTTCACTTCTGTTTTAAAATGTGTGCCTATGGTGAGTGTGTACATATTTATCTAAAATGGACAGCATTCAATTGTTAATGGTAGTTATCTCTGGATGGTGGCATTATAGGTCATTTTTACTGTTGTTTCTATGCCACTGTGTTTTCTTCAATTAATAAGAACTAATAAGTATAATGTTATAATAAGAAAAATATGGCAGTGGCCAGGCACCATGGCTTGTGCCTATAATCCCTGTACTTTGCGAGTTAGAGGCAGGAGGATCACTTGAGGTCAGGAATTCAAGACCAGCCTGTGCATCATAGTGAGACCCCCCTCTCTACAAAAAAAAAATTAAAACTAAAAATAATTAGCCAGTCATAGTGACACGTACCTGTAATCCCAACTACTTAGGAGGCTGGGGCAGGAGGATTACTCAAACCAAGACCTCAAGGCGATAAGCTATGATTGTGTCTCTGCACTCAGTTTGAGCAACAGAGAGAGACCTTGTCTCTAAAAAAAAAAGAAGAAAGAAAGAAAAGCAAAAGAAAAATATGGCATTAAAGCTAGATTTATTATAGTTCTTTATAACAAAAGGGTTACCTATAAAGTAACATATAAGAACTACATAATATATACATTTAAAACAAACAAGCAAATCCAGAGGAATTTTAAATTGTCAATAAAAGTATGTTAAGTTTTTAGATAATGTTGATATAAAATCCTTGGAACAGCCACCATTATATGGTGATGCTGTTAACTTCATATACTCCATTTTTTGAAAATTGTGTGTTTTTTTCTGTCTACCTCCAGGTATTTCCATGCCGATACCAGTCTTTGGGCTACAGGATGACTCCAAGGTCTTTAAGGAGGGGAGTTGCTTACTCGCAGATGATAACTTTGTCCTGATCGGCTCTTTTGTGTCATTTTTCATTCCTTTGACCATCATGGTGATCACCTACTTTCTAACCATCAAATCACTCCAGAAAGAAGCTACTTTGTGTGTGAGTGATCTTGGCACACGGGCCAAATTATCTTCTTTCAGCTTCCTCCCTCAGAGTTCCCTGTCTTCAGAAAAGCTCTTCCAGCGGTCGATCCACAGGGAGCCAGGGTCCTATGCAGGCAGGAGGACTATGCAGTCCATCAGCAACGAGCAAAAAGCGTGCAAGGTGCTAGGCATCGTCTTCTTTCTGTTTGTGGTGATGTGGTGCCCCTTCTTCATCACGAACATAATGGCCGTCATCTGCAAAGAGTCCTGCAATGAGGATGTCATCGGAGCCCTGCTCAATGTTTTCGTTTGGATCGGTTACCTTTCCTCGGCAGTCAACCCGCTCGTCTACACACTGTTCAATAAGACATACAGGTCGGCCTTTTCACGGTATATTCAGTGTCAGTACAAGGAAAACAAAAAACCACTGCAGTTAATTTTAGTGAACACTATACCGGCTTTGGCCTACAAGTCTAGTCAACTCCAAATGGGACAAAAAAAGAATTCAAAGAAAGATGCCAAGACAACAGATAATGACTGCTCAATGGTTGCTCTAGGAAAGGAACATTCAGAAGATGCTTCTACAGACAATATAGACACAGTGAATGAAAAGGTTAGCTGTGTGTGATAGGCTAGTTGCCATGGCAATTGTAGAGGACACATGAAGCCAGATTTCATCTACCTGGATAAAGAGAGAGAGACTGGGAAAATATTAGGCCAGGCTAGTGGAACCGACAATAATATCTATATGCCTCATCTTATTCTGTCAATGAAAAGCAGGGTTAAATGCTACAAAATGTGCACTTTGAAAATGTTCTGACAGCATTTCAGCTGTGAGCTTTATGATACTTATTTTTAACACTGTAAATTATGTATCTTTAAAATAATTATCTTTTTTTGTATAATTATGAGGCCCTAAATAAATCGAAATTAACTTCTATTTTCAAATGGAAACCTTGCTGCTATGTTGTTAATTGATGGCATGGGATTGAGTTGGTGACCTATTGCTGTAAATAAAAATAGCTATGAATAGTGAAAAATGTGTTGAATGTAATGGCCTCTTAAATAAAGAAAAATTATCTTTAAAATTTTCCATGATATATATTTTGAAAGGAAAAAAAAGACACTAAGGACAGCATTATAAAATCTGTATTGCTAAGATAATTAAGTGAAATACTTGATGTTTTTCATTCCTGCTTATTCATAGATGCCATTTTGAAATATTCACAAGGTTGCTGGCATTTGCTGCATTTCAAGTTAATTCTCAGAAGTGAAAAAGATTTTAAATGTTATTGAATATCTATTGCTGCTTTCTCTCCTACTTCTTGTGCTTTACTCCGAATTTCCAATGTGGTCTTGTTTAATATTTGTTCTTCTAAGTAAACTATCAAAAGGGATAGTTTATCATTATCAAAAACATTTCTAGAAATTGCTTCTCTAAAACAGCACCATAGAAGTATTTGGTAACTTGCTGTGAAGTGACTGCATTGTGCATGCGCTCTCCTTTGAGCAGTAAACAGTATATTGATGTCACTGTGTGAGGATTGAGGATAAACTCAGGTTTCTGGCTATGGCAGTAGTAGAGTCTTGGGACATCTCTATGAAAAGCAAGTGACTTTCCTGTTGACACTCATCGAGTAAATTTATGCTTTCAGATCAATCCATCTATATTATTTATTAACACTGTTCAGCTTGGTTTCACAATCATCTATTGAGTGTACACTTACGTGTGATGAAGCAATTCTCTAGGTACTAGGGATATCAAAATACTTAAAACAAGATCCTTGCCTTTAAAGAAATTGACTAAACCAAAATGCTTGTCAGGAAATATAAAGACTTGTTTTGAGAATCCATTCAATTTATTTACTTCTTACCAGGTTCAGAAACAAGTTTGTTAAACTATGAGGGTAGTTTTCAAAATAAGTTTTCTTGTTTGGTTACCAATGAACCTCCACCAAACAAGCAGGGGGAAGTATCACTTGAGGCCGAACAGAGCATTTAATTTAAAAATATGCACCTCCATCTGGACTCAATATATGATTACCAAAGTTTTGAGCATAGTTTTTGTCCCATTTTCCAAAAACTCGCTCATTGTAGTATTACTCATTGACACTGGGCTCTCTAATAAAAAAGCAGATAATATAATGTTTTGTAGAAATTGTTGCAAGATAGAAAGAGATGAACAGCAGTTAATTCACCTTGATACTATAATACTCAAGGTTAAATTGCACATTGTTATTGGAATAGATGTTAGATATATTTGATTACAGAGCTGAAGAATTTCTATTGAATGAGAAGTCATTTTGCCCTAAGACTTTGGAAAAAAAATTATAGATTTGAAAACTAAAGAGCCGGGCTCGGTGGCTCAGCCTGTAATCCCACGCCTTTGGGAGACTGAGGTGAGTGGATTGCCTGAGCCCATGGGCTCAAGACCTGCCTGGGCAGAGAGACCTCATCTCTACAGTAAATTAAAAAATCAGCCGGGCGTGGTAGCGCATGCCTGTAATTTCGGCTACTTGGAAGGCTGAGGCGGAAGGATCACCAGAGCCCAGCAGGTCGAGGCTGCGGTGGCCGGGAGCGGCCACTGCACTCCAGTCTGGGCGACATAGTGAGACTCCAACTCAAAAAAAAAAAGAAAGAAAGAAAACTAAAGATGTGGGAAGTGCTGTTGTGTAATTTTTGAAATACATTAGGAAATACATAAAATTCCATTTATGTCCTTATAGATAATGTTGGAAGATGACTCACTATTTCAAAGCTAGAATGTATAACATGCCACTAGTACCCAGGCTGCATTTGAATTGAACTACTCCCTAATAATTATGCCATACTAAACTGATGAAAATAGAAATGTTAAAAAGTCTCTGCTCTAATGCATTTTGCCTTAGTTTATAATTCTGCATATTTCATTGTTCATATGTTAGGGAAAAGATTACAGATTCTACCCCCGTGTACTCAGTCTTGAACAGAATGAACATTAATACTGCCTGACAGATGTCTTTTGACTACCTACATACTAAAAATGTGTATGTGTTTTTTTCTCCAATAAGTATCTATTCAAGTATATACTGTATAGGCAAGTGTATATCTGTATATATGTACAGACATGTTCCCATGCACTTTATTCAATATTTATATATTTATATGGAGGAAAAACAAGTCAATGAAAACACTCAATATATACACATGTGTGCATGTTTGTATCATGTTGATTTCAATGTGAATTTATGTTCTAATATTCCTATGACTCTCCATTGCTGTCAAAGCAGATTAAAGTGTAACAAAAATATCAGCTCTTTAAATAAACTGGAAGTTGATCTAATTTTGTGTAAAGACTTCAAGACAATTCTATGAGGATAATGAAAACAATGGTTCATCCATATATAGTTTATTGATCTTAAGTAAAATGGTTCCTTTGGGTTCTTTATTTACTCTGGGGATTTTCTGACTACTGAGGCTTTAAAATATACTCCCCATTCCCTGAAACACAGTGCTCAAATGATTTATGGATCTGTGATGAAAGAGTTCACTCCTAGTCAATATTATTAAACCAGAGTAACAACCTTACTTACTTTACATTGAATGATAGATTCTTCTATATTAAGGAAAGGAATTAACTGCCATAATTAGGGTGGGAAATGCACAATTTAAAGCCTACTTCATCTACTTGGTCACAGCGCCACCTCATGGTCATTTTTTAAAGTGCTACCGTAGCAAGTTACTGTACAGCTTTTAGCAAAGGGTGGTTCTTCCATGTGTACATCAATGAAATATATTTATAAAGTGTTAAATGATGATGTGCCATATGTAACAAATACAGTGAAGAATATTTTATGAACTGCTTTAATCAAGGTGATTCTAAAACATTCCAAGAAAGAATAAATAACTGTAAATAAAAAATGAAATGCAATTTTGTGTGAGTCCATAGCTGTGTCTACTAAAGGGAATTGCCCCAAATCTTCTAGGCCATCAGTCTGGGAACTCCAGGTATCATCCCAATATTTTGAGAGTAAAAAATTCCTGTGCTCCTGGAACTCAGCTATGCCAAAGGGCTAGGATCCACTTGATTGAATTAGCTTTATAGACATGATCTAGTTTCCAGTTATCTGCAGTAGACAAATGCTTTATGTTTGATCACTACATCTGGGTTCCACAAAGCCTAGGAACATGGAGAACTATTTTCTGTGCTCTAATACATGTATGCAGATCCATGTGGGCATATGCATGCAGGTATATGTACCCTAGACATGCACACAGGTATGTATATGCACACACATCTTTCACAATAGATAGTTTCAGCAGTAAAGTAAACCACAGAGACATAGTGCTATTGAATAAACTGGAAAGTTGCCCTGGTTCATCATTCACCTTTAAGTGCTGGGAAATTATATAAAATCAAGACAGTTGATATTTTTCCCAGGTGGTTATGGCTCCATGTATTGAATACCTACGATGTGAGAGGCATTAAGCTGGTTGCTTTGCTTCCTTGACCAAATGGAATTTTTGCAACCATTCTACAAGTTATGATTATGTTGCTGTAATTTGGAAGATGAAGAAACTGAGATTCAAAACAGTAAAGTTTCCAAAGTCATACAGCTGGCAAGAAAACTAGCAAGTTCAAGCCTGGATTATCTGACACCAAAGCACAAAATCTTTTCCCAACCTCATGTGGCTCAAGGGAAAGAGCACCTTTCAGAGTCAAAATATGAGAGTTCCCATCTTAGCTTCCCCACCCGTGTGAGTTTGGACCAGTCGCTTAACAACCAGTGTCTCAATACCATTGCCTCTAAAATGGAGCTACTGGTACCCATCCTGTTACTGACAGAGTAGCTTAGATGAGATCAGGGCTATGGCTGGGGCTTGATGGCCTATAAAATGTTGAGTAAATGTAATAGCTGTGTTGCTATTTTAAAAAAAGAAAAAAGCTTCTATAAATTATTAGCTATCAGAGAAAATTCTAGATAAAGTTGTAGGATAGACAATATTATTATTCAGCAGTTTCTACTATCCTTTCTGTGAGTGCTTCTCATTTAAAAAAGACACACACACACACACACACACACACACACACACACACACACACACACACACACACACACAGTTTACTTCTCTTCTGTCCACAATGCAGAGCGCCCATGTTTAGTACTCTTTTTTTTATTTCTTTCATCAAGCCTGCCCATCCCATGTGCCATTCCCTCAGGTCTCCATTCTCAATAAGTCATGGAAATTGCTGGATCAATGTGCGTCGTTGACATCTGTTCCACTGCCCACTATGATCAAAATCTAAAAGGCAGAAACCAAAGGCAAAGATAGAGACAATAGAGAAAGAAAATTGGGGACAAAATGTTCTGATATCCCTCAAACCAACCACAGAAAAACAAATACCTTAAATAATTGATAATTTATATAAAATGTTTTACCTTAACGTAGAATCTTAACCCACAAAGATAATGATTTTTAAAGAAACATTCATGATTCTTAAGGTTTCATTCTAAGCTGAGAATGTTAATAATATATTTGCCCTAGTGAGTATGCAATCAGACAAAATTTCTTTGTTAATTTCTGACTACTTTGGCATGAGGCTTGCAAAAAAACAAACGATTTCTCTCTTTTTCCCTTAATGGTATACACACCAACCTTAGTTCTGTCCTTCCTTTTTGATATTAACACAGTATGTCCACCTGAGCCAACACATTATGTGAAGTCTTCAGACCCAGTTGGAGCCTCTTTTCATGTGACCTAATGACAGCAGAAGACAGACAGGAAATTCAGGTCCATCCTGCTACTATTGCCTGACCTTGGACAAATCCAAACTTTTCTTCCCTCAAGTATATAATAAGGGACTTAGAGTTAATGATCTCATCTGGGACTTTTTCTCATTTGGAAGTTTATTCTTATATGAATGCTAGAGAGTCCAGTCAAGGCTTCGATTGACCAAGGCACAACTTCATGTGCAAAGAATATTCTGGAATTCAAAACTCTCACATTCTCTAAATTCTCTGGATAAATTTCAAATAAATGACACCTTTATCTTTTATACGAGACTCTTACAAGATAAATTGTTATTGATCTTAGGAGTTTCCAAGAT